TATTTATATATTTTCCAGAAGCGCCACACAAAACACATTTTGCATTTATATTGTTGCCATTTATTTCATTGAATATAAAAAATGACTCTAAACCATTCCAGGGCAAACATTCACCTGAAAAGGTAAACATTATATAGTGTTAATTATAATTAATTTTTTAGTTAAAGTCTAGTATTCTGACTTAGACTTACGCATTATGGCTTTAGTTAAGTCTGCAAGTCAAGACATGTTTTATTGTAATAAACTTACTTTAGAAATAAAACTTGCTAGTCAATGAAATATAAAATAGATAAAAGTAACGAGATATTTTTTTTAAAACTTACCACTAACTTCAGTGTCATTATTACATGCGCCACCACTAACGTTATCATTTTCAATAACTGGATTCATATTGCTTACTACAGCCGCGTAAAATAAAATTACTTTTTCAAGGTTAGACTTTTTAAAGTAACTCCGCGGCAAAGTTCGCCATAAGTTGGCCAAACGTACTATTTTTAAAATTATAGCCAAATACAAAGCGTTATGTTTTTTGAACTGTAAAATCAACTATAACGAAATTCTATTGGTTTAAAATTTGAGGAACAACTGAAAATTTTTCTTTTAAAGAACGTGAACGAAAAATAATAACTTTTCGTTCACGTTCCTTAAAAAAAAGTATTCGTCCGCTTTCCTCGTTCCGTTTTTTTAAAAGGAACTAGTTTCTAACTCCGTTCCTCAATAAAGGAACTCGTTTCAGGAATCCGTTCCTTTTGGAACGCGTTCTTTCAAACACTGATAATAAAGCATACATGTTTATGTCCTTATGTTTTTAATTTGCATATAAAACATTTAGCTTTTTAAAACTTTATAAAAAATTATCATAAAAGTTATCAAAAGTGTTCTATTTATTAAAATGCTTAGAAATCAATGTTAAGCAACAACCTTAATGTCATATTTTTATTTTATTTTTTGAACAGTTTAATCAGCAGTGTTAAAATGCTTTTGGTAGGTCAATAAAGATTTCGAGAACAAAGGTATTATTATCAAAAGAGTGATTATGCTATTTTCAAGATATTAGAGTACATGTTCAATTTTGTGATGCTTTTGAAATTGTTTTTCATTTAAAAAAAAATATTTAATATTCTTAAATACCTACATAATAACAAATGTTGTTTTTTGTTAGGTATTTATACGATTAAGTGTAGACTTCTCACAGTGCCGCTGCTAGTGCCGTTGCTAGTGAGACCGTTGCTAGTGAGACCGAAGTTATAAAAAATAATCGCTATTAGAGTCCCAAAATCCTTAAAGTGTTTGTAGCTACAAGCTGCAACTTAAAGTTTTTGTAGCTACAAGCTGCAACTTAAAGTTTTTGTAGCTACAAGCTGCAACTTAAAGTTTTTGTAGCTACAAGCTGCAACTTAAAGTTTTTGTAGCTACAAGCTGCAATTTAAAGTTTTTGTAGCTACAAGCTGCAACTTAAAGTTTTTGTAGCTACAAGCTGCAACTACTAAACAGCTACTAGGATATAGACCACTTCTTTTGTCGTCGTTATTACATAGTACAATAATAAAGGAGTTTTTAACACGTATTAAATTTAGGTAAGGTATTATAATTCCAATAGATTATTGTTTTTCAACTATTTGTGTCCGTGGGGAAATAACAAACAATCTTAATGTGGTAATTTCGAACGTTTAAAGTCTCAATACATGGAGGTCAGGTGGTCAGAACATTAATGTTTCAAACTTTTTTCAAATTTAATTTTAACAGATAAATTTTTCAAATATTATCTCTATGCATAAATTACCAAAAAAAAAACTGATAATGTTTAAGAAAGAACTCCACCATTATTACTAGTTCGCCAATGAGTAATATTTTAGAGAAAAAGATTTTATCTGTAATTTTTATCCATAGTTGTTAAAATTTGCATTTTATTCGTTATTGCACAACATTTTTTGTGATTACCCCATGGTATGTTTGGAAGTACCCTGTGTAGGTAAAGTAATTCCAAACACCAATGGTTTTATTTTTGCTCCAAAATTTTATTTTACAATAAAATTTATAAAAATTGCTTTTGAAAATTTGTGACTGAATAGTTAAAGCAAATGATAAGCAATAAATATAATCAATTTCGAATAAATAGTGTCTTTAAATCGCATTTCTAGTTGGCTGTTCGCCAATACACCACTCTCCACTATTACTTAAAAAAATTAAAAAAGAAAAATACTCCTTAAATTTGGAAGGGCCCCTAAATTTGCAAATGGGTTCACATACTTTGCAGGGGCCCCCATGTAAGAGTTAGTTGTTTTGTGAAAATGGTTGTCTAGTTTTAAATTTTGGTACAATTTTTGCAGTTTTTAATTTATCTGGGACAATGCCTGTTAAAATTTGAGATTTAAATAATTTAAAGATGGTTTTTTTCATTTCCGGAAATACATTTATTTCTATATTCCTAAAAATCTCATTGGTTTCTCACTCGAGTGGGTAGAACGATGACTGCAATTTATTTGCTTAAAAAGTTTAA